TATGAGCAACACTGTGATCAGTACTTTGTACAATAATATAATACTACTCAGACCCACACCTGATTATATTATTAGGAGCGTGATCAGTACTTTGTACAATAATATAATACTACTCAGACCCACACCTGATTATATTATTATGAGCGTCATCAGTACTTTGTACAATAATATAATACTACTCAGACCCACACCTGATTATATTATTATGAGCAACACTGTGATCAGTACCTTGTAAAATAATATAATACTACTCAGACCCACACCTGATTATATTATTATGAGCAACACTGTGATCAGTACTTTGTTACCTTCATCATCAGTTCTAAAATGATCCCAAAATTGTTTCCACAAGCTATTTTTTGATGTATCTGGCACAACATACTGAAAATAAAGAAATACATGTATACAACTGCAATTATTATTATACTATTTGGAAAAAGGAGAATTCTTATACCAGAAAGCTCAGAAAAAATTCTGAGCTCCAGGTGAGAATATTGAACTCATGACCCTTCAAGTTCTAGTTTGGACGCTCCAACCACTGAGCCACTGGAGGCTCTACGGTAAACAGAGTTGAAATTTAATTATTACTACAAGGACAGTGATGTCTTTTTTCCCACTTTTTATTAGTTTCTATCTCAGATCTTAATATGGCAGATCCCTAGTACCCTTGCTATCAAGGCCACCCCTTTGTTGCTAACTGTTCATTACCTATCACAGCGACTATATAGCTACTGTTAACTTAACCACACAAACTATTAAATGTACCTGACAACCTCCCAAATAAAGCCTCTCCCCCTTCCCAACAGTTTTTTCCATTACATATTTACTCCATTAGTCACTTGATAACTAATGTGAAGATTCTACCCCTATTTCAGAATAATGTAAAATGGATTTCTAAGGACTCACATTCCAAATTTATCAGCTAAGTGTGCACCCAATTTAACTACTCTGCCTTTCAGTGGTTGGTTGTTTTGAACCCCCTTAAAATCAATCCTAGATCTACCATAGTGTGTGTCCTCTTGACACTAGACAGCTTAAACCTCAGGGATGTCTTAAAAACTAAGACCTAAGACCTAATAAGAGCTCAAAAACAAGGACCTCTATCTTGAAACCAAAGGTCAGGGACACCCAACAAGAATATAGTTCAAAACCACTTAAACATAGCACTGTTAAACGTATATAGGCATATTTTTATCCCCTAAAATTTCTTCATCTGTTCGGATTTCCTAGGTTAAAGTCTAGTGATCCGAAAATCATAGGGATCAAGACTTACCTTTTTGGAAAATTTCAGCCAAAGAAAAGGCTCCTGAAAATTTTAGGTGACCTCTTTAGGGTAAAAATCCATTAAAAATTGGCAATTATAACATTTTTCAGATGATTGAAAATCCTAGGAGAGGAAGGCAAGCAGGAAATTTTACAACAAATGTTCCGAAAATTCTAGATCTCAAATCGTCTTCCGAACAGATATTTTCTGAAAATTGATGTTGGGTGCCCCTGAAAGGTGCTAAGAAAGACCCACTGGAATGAAATAAAGACTTCAAGTTTTGTCTAACACCCAACCTCACCACTCCAACTCAATCAAACGACCTCGAAACTGAACTGAGACCACGAAAACTTAGTCCCTGTCATTCAAAACTGCATGAAAACGCATCTTTTTTAGCAAAGGTATAGTCAGGTGTTAGTTTTCAAGTTCCATTTTCAAGAGGTCTTGGTTTTCAGATTATAGTTTTTCAAAGTCTTAGATTTCAAGGTCAAAGTTTTCAAGGTCAGGAGGTCTTAATTTTCTGAGATATCCTAAACCTCAAAGATGACTAAGATATTTGTTAATCATCTCAGTATTCCTCTGGTATACCTATGGCCATTTGTTTTCCAAAGGTAACATTCATACTTCAAGCATAAATGGTACAGATTCATGCAGTCTTACCCCAGCTAAAGGCATTTCCAATGACACTTTTTCTGCCTCTTCACAAAGTCTCTCAAACGAACAATGTAAAATAACAAATGTTTTCTCTGCGGTATATTTTCTCTCCACTCTGAACCCTTGAGCATGCAGTTCAGACTCGTATTTCTTTCTCAATTTCTCTTGAAGGTTCCTTGTGTCACCTGTTTTATGAACTAAAATATAATCGTAGTGCATAAACTTGTTATTTTTTCCCTCAGATGATTTGCTTATTGCGAGATGTAAGGCTAATTTCCGAATATCTTTTTCATCTTTGTTTATTTCCGAAGGATGACTACTCCGCAACTCATCATGTATCTGAATGAGTTTCTCGCGACTTCCCATGGTTTCGAGAGGAAGCTCTACATGGCGAACGGGTTGGTCACCATGATGATAGCTGTAGCTTGAAACTTGTCGTAAGTAATCATCTCCTTGTTCCTTTGTAGATGGCACAGATTTTGTCCTTTTGACATTTTTCCGCTTTTTCTTTTCGTGCACGTCAACAATATCACTGGTTTCATTTAACACTTTCACTCTGTCGTTGGTAGTATTATCCCCCATGCTGACGTTAAGCAAGTTGCTAATATCTTTTCGATTCGTTTTAACTTTGTTCTCAATTTTTTAATTATCTCGTTAGTTTTTCACGCAAACATCACATCGGAAAGTAACGTTTTCGAGATTAAGCGAGGTTTTTCGAGTAGGCTTCTAATGTCAAGGGCTTTATACTCAATTCAATGCTCGGTTTCACGCACAGCTGTGCTGCTTGATGAGAAGTTGATGCGAAACCAAATGACTACCATAGTGTAGAACAAAACTTCGGCTGCACCATAATATGGATGGTAAATTGCAGATTAACCTTTTAACGTGGTGAATCCAACTTTTTCTAGTACTGTGTTTCGAGAAACCACAATCAGATAACAATATTTTAAACCAAAGACGATCCTTTGATGAAGAAACAAACAAATCACCATTTAAAGACCAAGAGCTGCCTAATATCCGCCTAATATAAGGAAGCTTCTGATGTTGTCGCGATCACTGTAGTTGGTTTCAAGCTATCTGTCCCTCGATCGTGTGTTTTGAAAAGTAAAATGTACAGCAGTGAATGAAAATAAGTAAGCTTACATTGGCATCTAATATAGTTCTTTTGTGTTATCATAATCGTCTGTGCGTGACCTCCACACTGTTATGTCTCCAACGCAACTAAGGAACCAACCAGAAGGCCATTGAACTTTAGGCGTAAAACACATTTGAAAATACTTGTTCCTCGTTTTATGAGTCTACATTCTGCTTTTACTGTGATATAAAGTAAGAGAACAAAGCAGAGGAAGGGTCAATTTTTTTCCCGCCTAAAGTCGCTCCTTATCGTCGGAAGACTTCGGAAAATCTAGCCGAAGAGGTAAACTTCGGAGTCCTCAGGATTTTGGATTTTGCGCTGTTTTACAGGCCGCTGACCAACAATGCAATATGGCGTCAAGGGAAACTTCATTTTCGAGGACTGAAATCCAGCAAGAAATAAAAAAGCATGGAGATGTTTTAAGACAATTGAAACTTAAAGAGCCGACAGATGAAGTTAAAAACAAGGTAACTTTGTAGTTAACTTTTAGTCTGCGTGCAGTTTTATGGCCAAAAAGTGGACTTACCGGGTAGTTTAAACGTTTAATTACACGTGGATGGTGGTTCAAATTTCTCTTTAGTTGTTCAAACCAGTTTAATTTTGTTTTCGTTTGTCGTCGGTATGTTAGCTGATTTGATACAAAGTAAAATAGTAGAAAAACTGGAAGAATTTGAGCTACAACATATCAGCCGACGTAATTTATTGAAGTATTTCATCATCCATCCCGGGGGGGAGGAGGTGGGGAAGACGAGTAATGTTCTGGGACCGAGAAACGATGTTCTCACAACTTGCAAAGCGGTCACCTTGTGTGGTGGTCATCAGATAATTGCAGTGTCTTTCCTAAAGTAAACATTTTAGAAGCGAGAAGCGAACCTGCAGAGGAAATAAGTCAATAATTGGAAGAAAAAAACCTCTTTGCTTTTCTTGCATTCTGTTTGTCAATTGCTACTGAAATTGCAAGGGAAACCAAAATGCAAGTGATGTTCATTACAACCAGCAACAATGCGTACTGAGCTATCAATCAAGTTTATAGGTTTCTGATTACATCGTTTTGGCCGGGCAAGCAGGGTTGTCGCAAAATTCACCTCCTGAGAAAGACAAGATCTCCGGCTGGATTTTGGCTGTCAATTGCCAGATAGACAAGTCTTGAGTTTTTGCAGAAAAAATACACCTAGCTGTTTAAAAACAAAAAAAGGTGAAAATAAATACCTAACTACATCTAAGCCGCAGAATTATTGAAGGTGAAATAAAGTATTGCTTTAAATTCACTGGTCGTAACTGGTCTATCATGTCTCTCTCCATTTTGGATTGCCATTTTGTAAACTCAAAGCTTGGTAGCTCTGTAGACACGATGTTGTAAACAACTGGACACAAATTATCGTTACCGGATTCCTTACCACAGACGACATCATCCGTTCTCTTTGGCCAAGTAGGTATATGAAATTCTCTCCGACAGATTAAGATTACGCGACCTTACCTGATAACAAACTTTCAACAACTTGACACACCTTCTTGCATAGACTTTACAAACGAGGTCGGATTTCATTTCTAGTAGTTTCAGAACTGATGTAAATCCGGACGCGATTACGGTGTTTTTCTTGTAATATTATAATCTGCATTTAATTGATGTATAATGTAACAGAATTCTAACAATGTACCCATCTGCTGGATTTTTGTCTCCTACTCTGCTTAAATAAAGTATTTTTTGAAATGGATTTCAGTTGTGTTGAGCCGACGTAGGAGCGAGCAATGAAACTTACGACCTTCAACCACACTCAGTACGGATCTTCTTTAGCTCACTATTCTTTTATATCGCTTGGTGCTTGCTAAAATTTTCATTTAATGTTATCATGGCTTCACAATAAGAAAATCCAAGAAAAAGATGGCGCGATAAGTCTGATCTAAAGGGTTTTTTTCGCCACAGGCCTCAACAAGGTAATTACAGACTAGAGGGCTTTGTTGTCTCTCTTGCCTCTCTGTTTGGTTTTGGTGTTGTCTTTGGCTCTGTGTAGTGAGTTGACTTGTGTCGTATCTGCTTCGCTTGTAATTGCTTGGAGCTGTAGCCTGGTAGCTTCGTCAGTGCGAGCAATTTCTCTGGGTTTCTTTAGTGTGGGGTCGTTTCCTTCGGCAATACATTTCTTTCACACGATGTCAGAATCAACGTCGAACACGAGAGCGTCTCTCAGTAATTCATCATGGAGCTCGGACATTAATAGCCACTGTTTTGAATCAACAGCTTGGCCTCTGTCAGGAAATTATCGAGGGGTCGTCCGTTTTGCCTCAGGTTTTGGAGATAATAGTGGTAAAGTATGTGGTTGGACTGGGGTTTCACATGCTCTTCGAATCGTGTCCTGTATTTGTCAAGTTTGTTTTGTTCTTCACCGCTCAAGTTCCATGTGCTGAACAAGTCTAGAGTCTGTAGTTGACGGTCCACAGAAGGACGTATCGTGCCCTTTTTGTCCGGCAGATCACACCATCATTCATCTTTTCACTGAGTGCGTGCAAGCCACTTTGTTCTGGAAGGAGTTTCTGGGTTGGGCCTTGCGCATGGTGAACTCAAACTTATCGCTTTCAATAAAAGAAATGATGTTTGGCATTGTTAATAACGATTCTAAATTCTGTTTAGCCCTCAATCATTTAGTCATTATAGGAAAGTATTTTCTTTATGTAAAAGCTCTTAACGGTAAATTTTACATTTTAATGAATTTGTTTCCCTAGCTCGTGATAAAATTAGTCTAGAAAAATATATTTCTTGTACAACTGATGGCAAAAAAGATTTCTTTCTTTTTTGTCAGCTTCAAGTTGTAGTTTTCATTTTGTTGTAGATTGTCTTTTGTGAATATTAACTGTACGTGTGTATGTTCAATAAAGTTGTATTGGGAAAAAAAAAAAGAAGGACGTATCAACATCTCAGCTTGTTGGATCATGCCTTAAGTGGACCATCAAAATAGAAGTTCGCATTTCTCTCAGAAACGCTTGAACCTCTGAGGTAAATTTGGTCCCGGAATCCAGTCGATTTTTGGTGATTCGAAACCTATTAGATTGCTCATTTCATTCTTGAATTCCGCTCTTGAGTTTTGTCTTGAGTCTTGATGGGTTTTCTGACCTTTTAGTCGATAATCGCTCTTCTGACAACCATGTAAATAGACTCATAGTTCAACTCACGTAGTTTATTCAGCCATTACTACAAAAGCATATGGTCAGGAAAAATAGTGCACTTGATAAATCACGAGTTGCATAATCAACATGCATGACACAGAAATCGTTACGTTACGTACTGTTACAGTTGCTGTTACCTTCCCCCATCATCAACTATGCCGACACAGAAGGCGCAAACACTTTCTCTTGTGAGCCAGCTGAATGGCTTCCAACTGACATACCATTTTCTTAGCTACAACCCTGGGTGAGGAAATCAGAAGATTATAGAGGTCATGATGCTGATATAAAATAACATGAGAAAGTATCAAATTTATTGGAAGTAAATCTATTGAAGAATTGCAAATTCCAAACTCTGCGGAAGAAAACATTTAGATCAGCAAACCACACACTGTGTCTGAAAAGCGACATAAAATCAATAAGTTTGGGAATTACCAAAATATAATGGTGAGAAAGAGTGACCGCCATGGTTTTGTTCCTTCCCAAAACCGTTGACCTTTAGTTTTGACGTCATACACAAGATCAGAAACAAAACCGCTGACAAGACCCTTGATGATCACTTTGCAAGTTGTGAGAACATCATTTGGATTTCATTTAAGAGAATATATGGGAAGTAGCTTCCCCCCCCCCCCGACCCATCCCATATGGATAAAATACCTGTACCCCCAGTTGAGGAACCATGGAATTCATCAGGGGCAAGTTATAACAACTGAGGATTTCTTTAGGGGTAGAGTTAAAAAGTATAGTTTCTTTCGGGGTGGAGATTTAATCTGCATGAAATTCTCCAGGGGTACACCTATATTCCCATATTCTTCAGGGGCATATTTGATGGAAGTCTTCAGGGATGAAGGCAATTTTATTTAATCTTCAAGGGTGAGAAATAGGGGTAAAAAAGTCCTCAACTAAGGGGGAGCGGGGGGATATTAAATTCAATAGCCCAATTGACGGTCTGGAGTCTTTCATAGAACCCCTTAAACCATTTCTATCTATAGAACTTTTTCAACATCTCCAAAATTATTGTGTATTAACAATAATAATTCCACAATTTCTGTGCTCAAATGTAAGTTTATGATTATATGAATAATTATTCGAAAGTATCTAGTGAGAAAGAGTGAATGTTTACTTCCTCTTCTTTTTCAACTTCACCATCTCTTGCTGGTAGATTTGGGTATTGTTAGGTATCAGTACTTTTGTTACATTTATGCACATGTTATCAGCTAACAGTCCCAGGGGTAGGACCCTGGCCTGGGTCATTATAGGGGATTTTGTAAGGGAACACAAAGAGATGGAG